ATATGATATATTGACATGGGTCAAAATTTTCCACCCCCATATCTCGGTCAAATCTCATCCGATTTTCACGAAACTTGGGTTTTTGATCATGGTTTGGGATGTAAATCAATTTGGCATCAAAATCTGGCAACACTGTTTTTGGTCAAAATTCATGTCAAAATGTTACCCTCAAATATGATATATAGACATGGGCCAAAATTTTCCACCCCCATAACTTGGTCAAATCTCATCCGATTTTCACGAAACTTGGGTTTTTGATAATGGTTTGGGATGTAAATCAATTTGGCATCAAAATCTGACAACACTGTTTTTGGTCAAAATTCATGTCAAAATGGTACCTTCAAATATGATATATAGACATGGGTCAAAATTTTCCACCCCCATATCTCGGTCAAATCTCATCCGATTTTCACGAAACTTGGGTTTTTGATCATGGTTTGGCCTGTAAATCAATTTGGCATCAAAATCTGACAACACTGTTTTTGGTCAAAATTCATGTCAAAATGGTACCTTCAAATATGATATATAGACATGGGTCAAAATTTTCCACCCCCATAACTTGGTCAAATCTCATCCGATTTTCACGAAACTTGGGTTTTTGATCATGGTTTGGCCTGTAAATCAATTTGGCATCAAAATCTGACAACACTGTTTTTGATCAAAATTCATGTCAAAATGGTACCCTCAAATATGATATATAGACATGGGTCAAAATTTTCCACCCCCATATCTCGGTCAAATCTCATCCGATTTTCACGAAACTTGGGTTTTTGATCATGGTTTGGCCTGTAAATCAATTTGGCATCAAAATCTGACAACACTGTTTTTGGTCAAAATTCATGTCAAAATTATACCCTAAAATATGATATATAGACATCGGTCAACATTTTCCACCCCCATATCTCGGTCAAATCTCATCCGATTTTCACGAAACTTGGGTTTTTGATCATGGTTTGGCATGTTAATCAATTTGGCATCAAAATCTGACAACACTGTTTTTGATCAAAATTCATGTCAAAATGGTACCTTCAAATATGATATATAGACATGGGTCAAAATTTTCCACCCCCATATCTCGGTCAAATCTCATCCGATTTTCACGAAACTTGGGTTTTCGATCATGGTTTGGCCTCTAAATCAATTTGGCATCAAAATCTGACAACACTGTTTTTGATCAAAATTCATGTCAAAATGGTACCTTCAAATATGATATATAGACATGGGTCAAAATTTTCCACCCCCATATCTCGGTCAAATCTCATCCGATTTTCACGAAACTTGGGTTTTCGGTCATGGTTTGGGATGTAAATCAATTTGGCATCAAAATCTGACAACACTGTTTTTGGTCAAAATTCATGTCAAAATGGTACCTTCAAATATGATATATAGACATGGGTCAAAATTTTCCACCCCCATATCTCGGTCAAATCTCATCCGATTTTCACGAAACTTGGGTTTTTGATCATGGTTTGGCCTGTAAATCAATTTGGCATCAAAATCTGACAACACTGTTTTTGATCAAAATTCATGTCAAAATGGTACCTTCAAATATGATATATAGACATGGGTCAAAATTTTCCACCCCCATATCTCGGTCAAATCTCATCCGATTTTCACGAAACTTGGGTTTTCGATCATGGTTTGGGATGTAAATCAATTTGGCATCAAAATCTGACAACACTGTTTTTGGTCAAAATTCATGTCAAAATGGTACCTTCAAATATGATATATAGACATGGGTCAAAATTTTCCACCCCCATATCTCGGTCAAATCTCATCCGATTTTCACGAAACTTGGGTTTTTGATCATGGTTTGGCATGTTAATCAATTTGGCATCAAAATCTGACAACACTGCTTTTTGTCAAAATTCATGTCAAAATGTAACCCTCAAATATGATATATAGACATGGGTCAAAATTTTCCACCCCCATAACTCGGTCAAATCTTATCCGATTTTCACGAAACTTGGGTTTTTAATTATGGTTTGGCCTGTAAATCAATTTGGCATCAAAATCTGACAACACTGTTTTTGGTCAAAATTCATGTCAAAATCTTACCTCAAGATTCCTATATAGGCATGGGTCAAAATTTTCCACCCCATAACTTGGTCAAATCTCATCCGATTTTCACGAAACTTCGGGTTTTTATCATGGGTTGGCATGTAAATCAATTTGGCATCAAAATCTGACAACACTGTTTTTGGTCAAAATTCATGTCAAAATGTTACCCTCAAATATGATATATAGACATGGGTCAAAATTTTCCACCCCCATATCTCGGTCAAATCTCATCCGATTTTCACGAAACTTGGGTTTTTGATCATGGTTTGGGATGTAAATCAATTTGGCATCAAAATCTGACAACACTGTTTTTGGTCAAAATTCATGTCAAAATGTTACCCTCAAATATGATATATAGACATGGGTCAAAATTTTCCACCCCCATAACTTGGTCAAATCTCATCCGATTTTCACGAAACTTGGGTTTTTGATCATGGTTTGGGATGTAAATCAATTTGGCATCAAAATCTGACAACACTGTTTTTGGTCAAAATTCATGTCAAAATGGTACCTTCAAATATGATATATAGACATGGGTCAAAATTTTCCACCCCCATATCTCGGTCAAATCTCATCCGATTTTCACGAAACTTGGGTTTTTGATCATGGTTTGGCCTGTAAATCAATTTGGCATCAAAATCTGACAACACTGTTTTTGGTCAAAATTCATGTCAAAATGGTACCTTCAAATATGATATATAGACATGGGTCAAAATTTTCCACCCCCATATCTCGGTCAAATCTCATCCGATTTTCACGAAACTTGGGGTTTTGATCATGGTTTGGGATGTAAATCAATTTGGCATCAAAATCTGACAACACTGTTTTTGGTCAAAATTCATGTCAAAATGTAACCCTCAAATATGATAAATAGACATTGGTCAAAATTTTCCATCCCCATAACTTGGTCAAATCTCATCCGATTTTCACGAAACTTGGGGTTTTGAATATGGTTTGGCCTGTAAATCAATTTGGCATCAAAATCTGACAACACTGTTTTTGGCCAAAATTCATGTCAAAATGTAACCCTCAAATATGATATATAGACATGGGTCAAAATTTTCCACCCCCATATCTCGGTCAAATCTCATCCGATTTTCACGAAACTTGGGGTTTTAATTATGGTTTGGCATGTAAATCAATTTGGCATCAAAATCTGACAACATTGTTTTTGGTCAAAATTCATGTCAAAATGTTACCCTCAAATATGATATATAGACCTAAGTCGAATTGCCAAAATCTTACCTCCAGATTCCTATATATACAAGGGTCAAAATTTTCCACCCCCATAAATTGGTCAAATCTGATCCGATTTTGACAAGGTTTGGCTTTTTGTTTATGGTGTGAACCCAAGATAACTTTGACATATACATCTGGAATTATATATGTGTTTTTATGTTCTATCCGAGTAGCTTCAAACTTATATGCAAAGCGCTACATAGTAACGTAATGAATAAATTTCGCCCGCAAGAGTGGTATATTTTATTTGATATGTACTACGTTCAAGACTGGGTTATTCCGGTATGTTATAATATATATTTGACTCAAAGCTAACCCTGCTAAGCTTTATCGTTGACTGGTTTAAGCCGTGGCTCTGCCCATTTGTTGTTGCATTGTTGTTATTTTTGCTGCTGATGTGTTTTATTTTAATGTTTATTTGTTTATCACGCTGTCAACTGCATTTACGCTTGGTCAATAAATCGCTGACTATTTTTAATTAAGGCAACGCAATCCGAGCAAGCTTACAAGCCACGTCAGTTGGATAAACAAAAGCTGTCGAAAATGGTCAGCAGGAAGGCAGCAGGCGCCAGTCACCATTCGCTCGTCGCCAGTTGGCGGTTTCCTGCAGCAGGACGAGCACTCCTTCAGCTCAGGCACTCTCGGGCATGAAGATGGCGGCGCTTATGCAAATGGGTTTTAAGTCAAGAGCGAAGGTCAACGCTGGCTGGCTTCTGCTCCGCTGCGCCGGTTGTTAAATGCATGCCCAATGCAACGCCTGTGCCGAAAAACTCATTAACGGGCTGTGTTGGGCCTTTTAACCCGCCCACTTGGCCGCTGACTTGTGCCTCATGCTGTTGCATTTAACACGCCACATTGCCGCTCCTGCTGTTGCTCTTGCTGTTGTCTTCCATTTCCTTTTTAAGCACATGAAAAAAAAGTCAGAAAAAAAGTACGAAGTGGCGTGTGTAAGGTAAATCCGCTTAAGCACTGAGTGCTACAGCTCGAGACTTTTCAATAATTTACGCAAAAGAAAGCGAAACGAAACAAAGTGTAGCATAATGAAGGAACAGGCAACGAATCAAAGGACGCTCAAGTGCTCATCATGAGCCAGGTGCTGGGCATAAAAAGCGATTGGCTTTTATTTGGGACCGATAAAGGCAGTTAAAAATAGTTACAAGTTGTTTGACTAAGAGATATCCTACAGATATACAGAAGAACTTTTAGTTAAAGGTGTTCATATTCCAAATCTTAAGAGTACATTGAAAAACTTGTAGACTTCCTTTGAAAAAAGTACTCTTACCTTTTTGAGATATTTGAAATTTTATTTTAATTTAAAGTGTATGGTATGGGAAACATTTACCAAATTCGATTACTCTACCAATCGGTTATCTATTCTTATCGATATCGTAAAAGCAACGCGTGGTTTCAATGCTTTAATGTAAATTAAACAAGTCTGCGAGAAACGAGATTTGGCATTAGACAAGTAAAGCTCGTCAGCGTAATGAGAAAGTTAATAGACGGAAAATGTCTACGGCCTATTATACCCTCATCGTTCTAGCCATTTTTAATGACTATAGGGTACAACAAAAAGCTAGAGCCAAGTATTTGTATAGTTACTTCGTTGGCGTTTGTGGGTGGCTGGGCGGTCCCCTACGTAATTGTATGTAAATGTCTTAGTAGACCTTCAAACAAAAAAAAAAAAAAAAAAAACAGCCAAATGGTCGACTTTGGCTCGTAATGCTTGAGGAGTTTTTATTAATTCAACTTCAGTTGAGAAATTGAAGCACGTGTCCGAGCTCTTTGGTCTTTGATGGAGTGCTGCTGCACTGGCAGCTAGAGGCGAGCGTCTAGGGACCACTTTCCGGCGCCGAGACGCGCCATTAGCAAATATCCGGCCACTTTTAAAATCAGTGAACTGATGATGGACACACTAATTGTCAGATCATCCCAACCGAGCATGAAGGACCAGTTCACCATGCAACAATCGTGCCAAATAAGAGTCAGGACCGTCAGGCTGGCCGCCAGCTGGCAGTAGAAGCCAAGCAGCACACAGATGCCGCAGACCATGGCAAAACGATCATTGATTACCTAAAAGCAATAACGATTTGGGATTAAACAGATATATGCTCCCCGGCAGCAGGACGCACATTCTCAGTTTCGCGGCACCACAGCACATAGATGCCGCACATGCAGACGCGTGCCACCAGCAGCAGGCGTTGCACGGTACGCTGTTTCCTCAGGGCCTCCTCGAACGTGGCACGCTCCCGCTCACGCAGCGCCAGCAGCAGCAGCAAAGTGCCCACGTCCACGAAATCGTGCAGGGCCTGATTCAGGCTCCACATGGTAAAAAAGAAACAATGCAGCGTGTGGTGCAGCAGCAACAAGGATATGGCCACAGTTTCGCTCTTGTGGCACGCAATCAGTCCGGCGGCCGTTAAAATTACAAGAATATCGAACACAACATAAATGCCGCCCACCAATACCGAGCTGTCGATTATAATGGCAATTGCGGTAGCTTCTATGCGCAGTCGAAACGTTGACTGAAGCGCACCCTCTAGATAACTAAAGATTATGAAGATCGGCATCATCTCCGGTATACATTTTTGGAATTTTTTCTTTCCACGCAGAGCTACGTTTCCAGTCAATGCTATAAACTTTCTTGTCACCATTTTGGAATACTTTTCAGAAGGATAGCAACTTGTTTTCTTCCGTTTTTAATCAGTTGCAAGTCGTTTTCAATTCAATTTTTTAGAAAAATTTCGACTGAACACTGACTAATTTGTTCTACCTTTACAATACTTACAATGCTATGTTGACCAGAGCTGCAAACACAAACGAATTGGTATTGGCAATTCTTACACTGATTTCTTTAATCAGCCATTTAAAAATGCTTAAGCATGGCTCTACTGCATTTGTGCAGGGGTATGTAACAGGCAGGAGATGTCCCCTCCAAGTTCCAAAACAGCATCTCCTAATAATTATGTATTTTGTTGACTATCTCCAGCTTCTCTGTTCATTTTGGCTTTCTTCCTTTTCTACTCATGCCTCCCTTTTTGGGACTTTCAGTTAGCTCTTTCCAACACTGACGCGGTTTAACTTGAGCAAGTAGCCATCTTTGCTTATGTCATCATATCATCATAAGTGGTGCCCTGAATTTCGATGAAAATTAGTCCAAATTAGATGTGGTTATGGTTATGTATTGCTCCAGATCCGAGCTCTCTTCGTTCATTGAGATAATTGAGCTCCGAGGTCATCCTGGCCATTTGCTGATAGTTTCTCTGCTCGTGCAAGCACATTATATGCTTGGCAAATGCCTTGGTTACGTCGAGTAAGCGAATTTTGTTGCCGTTGTTCATAGATAGCCTAGATCTTGGCCATACACAGGGTGTTGCTAGTGTCGGTCATATCTACCATGACCAGGGCCACCTTGTCGCGCACATAACAATATATACACAGATATGTCTTTCGCCTTTGTAAATTAATATGGCTGCGTGTGCAGCATGCCCAGCTCTATGCCCAGCTGGCTGCTGTCGGGAGCCACAATGACTGCCGCCCGCTAGTTGGGCAGTTTTCGCTGGATACACGGCCACATGGCCACCTGGGACTTTAAATTATCGCAGGGTCTATCAATGAAGCCCTGCAGCTGCACCTAGCGCAGATACATGCTGAGCACAAGATTCAGCTTGGCCATGATGGGCTGCAGCCAGGACTTTTGCTTGGCCTGCCGTGCATACGGAAAGAAAGAGAGGATGGTGATAATGTGGTGATCATATCGTTGACCGGCTCACAGTTGGTCTGCAATATATAAGTTTCTCGCAACTCGTCTCCTTGCACCTCCAAACGCTCCGTCACCAGCCTGGCAAGGAGTGAACGCGAGGAGCTCAATACCACAACGGCACGATGCATTGCTCGTATTGGAATTTTAATTCCCCATTTGGGATTTTGGGCTTTGAGTGTCGGCATGCCGGAGAGCTCAAACTCCATGCCTGCTTATCACAGGCGAGGCGAGAAAGCGGGAAAGCCCTCTCATATAAGCTAATGTGCGTGTGCGTGTGCGTGTGGTGCCTGAGGCGCTCACTGCAATTAGACATAATTAGACGACTGCTCACTGTCGACTGCTGCTGACTGCTGCTGCTGACTCCTTTGTCAATGCAGTTAATGTTACTAATACGCACCGTCGGCCAGCAAACGCTGCAGGCGTCAATTATGAATATTTGATGACATTTTGACTAGTCCTTGGGCACGGATATCAGCTTAAAAGCCACAGATGGGCGATAATAATGCTTAATTTAACTTTAGTCGCCCTAATTAAACGCTGATTAATCAACTATCTAAGCTGCAGTCATGCAAATAATATTTATATTTATTAAATGTGGACAGAATATAAAAAGAAGCACATTCTATTATCACGTTTTTAGTTTGCTTGCTTATCAAATATTAAATTTGTTCACTCAATCCTTACAATTTCACAAAAATAAAGAAATCTGAAATCTAGGTTGGGCATTAAACAAAAATTTTCGAAGTTTTCGTAGTTTTTCAGAGAATTGTTGCCAACAAAATGAAGAAAATGCAAATCTTATTTAATATAATATACTTATATGTATATATATATATATATATTTTAAATATAGAAACAATTCTTGTTGTGGTTTAAATTGGGATTGGGATTAATCTTCCTACCTTAATTAATCGTAGCGAACAAAAAATAATAATATATGTATATATATATATATAAATAACTAATTAGCTAAACAAAGAGAAAATCGGCTTAGTTTTTGCCAAAAGTTAATGAGAGTATAACAAAGCCAAGGTCCAACTAGGTATTCTGCTGTAAATTGATTTATTTTAATTACGTTTAAATTCTAGGAATATTTCTTTTCTTCATTTCGCTCAATATATTCAATATTTACGCAAGCTTTATAAGTTTAACGAGCGCGCGTGGGCTGCTCAATTTATGAACTGTTTAAATTTGTTTTGATAGAGACCTCCGGTGTTGAGCTGAGCAAACGACGCGGTATCCATTATAACGCCGATGACTTTTAGCTTCCGTTAAGCGTTTTGCAATTTATCTGCTTACACAGCAAAAATTAATGCCACAAGTGGCGCGGCCAGCCGAGATGGGCGGCGCGAGATAGATGCGGAGCACAAGCTGGTGTTGTTTAGTTGACATTACCTTTTTTATTTAAAATAAAAAGAGCTGTCGTCATTCGAGCCGCTTGTGTTTTGTGGCCTTTGTTTAACGAGCAAAGTTGTGGCTGACAGAAATATAATAAAAATACAAAAAAAAAAAAAATAAAATTAAACACAAAAATTACCCGAATTAAAGTCTATACACGGTCATAAACAAAGGCATAGCCTGGGCAATGGCATGGAAACGAATCGGCAACCTGAAGGAAGCAATTCTCGATTATGAGTCAATGGCGCACAATGGCAGCAGAAGTCAAGGACCGAAAACAACAATCGAACCAAAAGTAAACAAGGCAAATGGCACACAAAGCACCGGGGAGTAAACATAACATGGAACTAAGGCAGCCCCCTATTGTTTATTATAATTCCGATTCCGATTCCTTTCAATATGCTGAAAGGAAATCAGAAAAGAGAAAAAAATTACTATTGCTCGATACGGATTCTATAATTATGTGACCAAGGCTATGGCAGGCGAATTGATGACAACAATAACATTGGCCCGAGATTCTCTTCATAAATTATGGCCAAGATCATTTGAAGTGGCCTTCAGAGTAAATGAGCTACAAGCAATAGTTACTGGCACAAAACTTTATTAATTGCACAAATTATTTGCACACTGCTCTCTCTCTCTCTCTTTCTCTCCCTCTCTCTTTCTTTCTCTCTCTGTTGCTGTCATAATAAATGCTCAAGACGTGCCGAACAACTCGACTGGCAATTTAAGAGGACACTCTTTTGCTTCTCAAAACATTTTCAACCTAATCAAATCAGCGACGCTTTTTTTGGCAGGGATGAAGAGAGCGGGTGATGGTGGGGTAGTGGGAGGGGGGGGGACGTCGCCACAGTTCGTGGATTTTGTTACAAATAATTTGAATCTATGTCAACATTTTGTACGCAGCACGGTAATAATTCATTTTTGTTTTTTCGCCACAATTCGTGACAGCTAATCACCAGAGGCAGACGCAAAATAGCCCAACGGCAAATACAACAAAAAACCAGAAGCGGAAAAAAGGCGCAGGCGGCCATTTTGAAAGATGGCGTCATGGCTGCCTGATTTCCGGCTGTGCTTCAAAACTGTAAATACCAAATGAATTTAGCATTTGCTTGGGATCTAACTTCATTTTGCTTGGCAATTGACAAAAAAGATACGAAAATTAGAAGCCGAGCCAGCCGAAATTTAACACTCTATATTACGAAATAATTCTATATATATATTTACATAAATTCCTCTTTAATTAATTTATTTTTCTAATTCTTTTTTTCAGTTAATGCAAAAAGGGAAATGTGTCAAAGTGTGCTTATATATATATTTTTTTTAAAATTTTTTTCTGTGCTTAACCTCTTTCGGGATAAATGTTTAAAAAAAAGTTCATAGCTTAATATTGTTTTCTTATTTTATTTTCTGTGATTTAAAACAAATTAAATTTGTGTGTGTCTCCTGTTTCTTGATAAAAATGTTGAAGTTGAAGTTTTTTAGAAAAATAAGTTTTTTTTAAAGAAAGAAAAAGTATAAAGAAAAAGGTGTTTAAATTCATAATCTAAAATATTTTTTACATTTTTTTTTTTGTGATTTGTTCAAAGTGTTTAATTGTGCTGTCTCTTTTCGGATAAAATGTTTAATATTTTTCAGTTCATAATCAAATATTTTTTTTTTAATTTTTTCTGTGATCAATAAATATGTTTAAGTGTTGTGATAAAAATGGTTTAAGTTTTTTGACAAAAAGCAGCTATTGAAAATTAAATATAAGAAGGTAAGTACATCAATTTATTAGTTCATTTCAAATCAAATATAAAATCTAAAATTGGTGCGGAATATGGCGACCAGCCACATTTTGTTGTTGATGCCTTACAATAAATTCTTACAAGACTCTGACTTTGACTCTGACTCTAGTATTGCCATATTAACTTATATGAAAACCTGTCGGCAAACGCAAACCAATTTGAAATATCCCTCGTAAGGGTATACAAAAAAGGGCGCAAAATATAATTTCATTGGGATTTAATATGGCATTCGAAATAAATTGCGTATATTTGTTATAATTGCGTGCAGTGGGGCGACGGCACGTCCAGTTTTTAATACATTTATTAAGCGATTTAATCTCTTTAATTTTATTAGTTTTTTATTATTTTTACATTTCCGTTTGGGTTTTCGCTTGTTTATTGAATATCGTAATCATTTGCATATTTTTGCTTTTGCCGCCGTTGTTAACGCTGACAAATGTTGAACATCTGACATTATCAGTCTTGTTATTGTTATTGCTCATTATGAATTGAATTAATGTAGACATTTATGCGATTGTCGGACATTGATTGTCCACAATACTGACAACATTTGTTCTAGCCCTATACCATATAAAATGGGCTAAGGGGTATATTGTTTTTGTTGAAATGTGTAAGACAAGCAGAGGGAGGCTTCTGCACTATAAGTATAGAAAATATATATATACTCTTTCTAGACAACAAGTTGAGTACAATCGGTTGGTATAAATAGAATGGAGCTGAAAATAACGGCTGATTGGCGCTGGGTACAGGGTATAAGCTAGTTAGTACTCCCGACTAGACGTTGTTTTATTTTAAAAAAAAATGTAACTTCAAATCGATATCAACAGCTGCTTCTCAGGGAATCTCGGTGCAAGCTATTTGTGCAACTCATATATGTGCACATAAAAATGTTTTATTTATGGCAAGTGAAAAAATAGAGCACATCCGAGAAAGTTTTCGACTAGAAAATATCCTGTAAATATTATATTATATTATATATATTATATTATACTAGCTTAGGAATTGCTGGCGAAAATCTCCTGAATCTTACGCTTGGTTCCCATTTCCATTCTTAATCAAAGTTCCATATTTTAAAGTTTTAGCTCTCAGCTCAACTTATATATACCCCTTTGTCATATGTTATATTTTTATGAGCACAGGGTATAGTAAAAGAAAAATACCAAAGTTTATTGACTAACACCAAGAAACTGGCCAAAGTAAATATGCCAGCTTTGCCTGCTGGGCAGTATTTTTTCACATGTTGGCCCGGCTAAGACGCCGTCTGCTTTTGTTATTGCAGCCAAAGACATTTTTGTTATCTTAAAGTCCTCGGGGCTCGTCCAGGCCAAACAATGCAGCTGAAGACAATAACTAAAAGAAAAACATATATAAATAGAAAGCCGCTAAAAAAAAAAAGAATAGAACAACGTCAGAAGACAAGAGATTTGTCATACTTAGGCAAGTATTCAGGCTCGTGCTCAGCGTATTCATACATATTTAACAGACAATGGACAGTCATTTGCTTAGATGCTGGCGTGAATATTTTGACAGCGCACTTACTTATTGCACTCACTGTGCAACGTGTATTTGAATGCATTTCTGTAAAAGTTCTGCGACTGTCACGCTGTCGTCTGCCATGCTATTTGCATTGTGCGCTGAAGTTGAACACTGTTCCAGTTTCCGGTAGACCCCAATGTGTCAGCAGCCATGTAATCAGTCAGCGCCGTGCCCGCAGCAGTTACAGACACAGTTACTGCTACTGCTACTGCTATCCGGTGTCGGGGAAACAAATCAATTAGCTGGCTAAATGGCTTATCGGGCCTTATGCGTAAGTCTAGCAGACAAAATTGCGCATACGCAGAGTAAGCCGTGGCTAAGCTGCTTTTAAAGCCGGGCGCCACCTTTAAAAACACATTACGAAATTACGCATGCGACGCATTGACAAATGAGGCGCGGAGCCATCACAACGTATACTTAATAATGCGCATACGCTGTGCAAACAGACAAACAGACCAAGCAATAAAAAATAATTACATAAATAAAGCATAAAAACAGCAGCAGCAACAACAACAAATACTACAACGATATAAACGAATCAGTTTTAATTATAAAGCAAGAACTGCAGCTGGCCTGCGACTTTGCCGTAGACTCCTCTACAGCGACAGGATAAAGGCATACAAAATGATTTATTTATATACTGCGTATACGTAACATTGCGATACAACTGCCACGAGAGATTGCGTACACGTGGCAGAGAATATTATAATGCCTCGAGCTTGTATACCCTTGCCATGGCAATGATAATTTAAATAAGCGATGTGTGACTCATTAAAAGTGACATTTCTTAAATCATTCAGTATATATTTCTTATAATAATGTCCCTATTCGAACTGCTTATCGAAATAATAGACAAACTCTAGGAATTTGTCCAATATATAATGCTTGTTTCTTTTGTTTTTACATTTAACTCGAGCTAACTGAACTGCTACAAATTTAATTTAATCGAATCACTTAATCCCTTTAGCGTATATTTTTTTAAAGCGTATTTGATCTTTTGCAACCCCCAGATAGCTGCTACTTTTTATACCCTGTGCCCAATGGAAATGGGTGAGGAGGTATAATGAAGTTGAGCAGAGCTTAGCAATGTCCATCTGTCCGCCTGCTCGCCTTCCTATTTACAATATCGATAAATATCGATTTCGAGACAAAGTTTTAAGTATTTAGCATACTCTTAAATAAAGTCGAAAAGGAAGTTTGTTGTTGACCTCGCCATATACCACAAATCGATAAATATCGATTTCTGGCTATCGTTTTTAGTATTTAGCCTACACTAATGCAAAGAACTTTATTATATTATTATTATAAGGATAACATCTAGTGTAAACACATTAAAAACCAATAATTAAAGAGTTTAGTTTCAAAGGAAGTTATTTACTGACCTTACCATAAATCGATAAATGTTGAGTTGGAGCCAAAATTTTTAGTATTTAGCCTACACTAATGTAAGGAACTTTCCGTTCCGAGCTACATCTTAGCATAATCTATAGGACTTTCACTTGCCTTATTCCTGGGTGTATGCACACATTTGAAATCAATTTACAAGCAAACATTTTGAAACAAATTCAATTGTTGTCCATCGATAAATATCGATTTCAAGCTGTAGTCTTACTTATTGCCTTACCTTATTCGGCGGCACAACAGGAGTTTAACAGGAGTTTAGCTTAAAATTAACTTGTGAACAGGATATTTGCTAGTCGCGAACTCTCGCTGTCAGTTGCTGTTCATTTCAATTGGGAAATTATTGTGAAGAGTTTTGTGTGCGCAACGTTGATGTGACTGTCTAAAATCTGGCTCGGCTCCACCTAGTTTGCCTATTAGATGTGCGCTGCTCGCTTTCATGGCGCCCAGCTTCTGGCTTTGGCTGTCTGTCAGTCATTAGTACATTTAATAGAGCTGACATGCCGGAGCCATGGAAACAACATGTGTCTTTTTTGAATGGCATCTTTTATGTGCGCATACCCACACACGCACACACACACAGCTCAACTGGGGCGCGCAAGTGCATTTCGTTGTACAACAGTTGAATTAATTGTTTGCAAATGATTTTGCTGGCAAGTCAAAAGCACAAGTAAGACAAGCTGGCACTGGGCGTGACAGCTTCATGGCAAATCCAAGCTAAGCCCGGCCCGTTTAATGGCATGCCACAAATTAAATTTCATGCCCAGCACACCCACAGCTGAGCATATTTTGTCAATGCGAAATACCTGTACAATTTTGTCAATTCGAGTCTGCGAAATCTGCGCAGATGTCAAAAGGGATAATGAGCCAGTCGGCCGTCGACCGTCGACCGTAGACCGTCGCCCCGCCAGGACACCAGGAAGCCGTTTCGGTTAGCCGCTGGGAAGCCTCTCCGGCTCCGGGTTAGGAATTTGCCAGCGCGGAAAATCAGCTTAGGCTGTGCATAACATTTGAATATACTTACTTATATATATATATTTACGCTATGTACGCTTCGTTCTTTTAAAAATTGACAATTGGTGGATGAATTGATTTTTCTCCGCCCCCTATATAATTTTCTTTAAAGATGATGAAAAAGTGGCACGGCTTATGGCTGCTTCTCAGCTCAGGTTAATTTAAAAATTTCACAAGTAATATTCTGAGCTTATTATGATTATATTTGAAATTTAAATTTGCCCTGCTTAAATGGTTTTTATATAATATTACAGACGAAAAATTACGTACGCTGGAACTCCATTAGAATAAATATCATTTATTTGCAATTTATTCAGAAAATGTTGTTAGCTAAAACTATTTAGGCAAATGATGATTTTATTTATTGTCGTATCTTCGCATGATTAAAGCTTAGACAAATTCGGGACTCTCAATTGCTGCTGTAAGGAGAGGAATATGTGAAAAGTGGAATAAAATGTTGTACAATATTGAAACAAATAAGAAAAACAGTCTCAATTGAGCTTTACATAAAGTTTATTGTCGCTATATACGGTAGATAACTTCTATAAACTATCGAAGAACAAGCAAGAGTTACTGGTTTGCAGTTCTCTGGGAATAATATGGCATAAAAATGTGTGTAGCTGCCAAAGTGCATATTATTTTTGTAAAGTCCATCCATTTTTCATGGAAAGTTTCGTTTGCAGCAAAATGAATATCATAAGCTATCGATTTAAGTACTGAAAAACCAAAATATATTTATATATTAAACTAATTTTGTATTTTTGGCGCACATAAAAAAGAAGCGCACTCAAATTGCCAATAGAAATAAGCTTAAGTGCAGCTAAATATTGACAGCAAAAAAAAGGGAAATATTTTTTGGATGACCTGTTGACCGTTGACAAAACAAAACAAAACAAAACAATTAAAAGGCAAATTTTTCGATTGTCATGAGCGCCATGAATATTCATGAAGTGCTGCGCGACGAATTTAATAATTGAATAGCTTGAATATAAATGCGGCCACAAATGGCCAACAGTTCACCAGGCAGCCAGCCAGTCGGCCAGTCGGCCAGCTAGAGGTTTGTTTTAACCGTCTGGATGCGGCGCCAGTAAGCCCAAACTACACAGCATTCAGCACCCGGGGCATGTCTAAATTAACAAATGAATTATTTAGTGCGAACACTTTCGTGGGCAATGCTTGGATTTACAACAATGCGAATTAGGTGCGAATGTGTTCCGGGCCGGGGATTAGCCTAAATGCGAAACTATGTAATTTGGTTAAAAGCGTTCGCACCCAAAATACATTCCGCCCCCGATAATGGACTTTTCATTAAAGTCCCCGCTGGCTTTAAAGCACCATAAACATTTCGACTGACTCTCAATTGTTGCAGATATTGCCAGAAATGAATTTTTGGCCAAGTCAACCAGTTAGCTGCACACCTGTGCCCCACTTGAAGCCATGTCCAAGCTAGAGAATGCCGCGTACCTCAACACGAACACGAATCTAAATTTTTCAAAAAATGTTACTAAAACACGGCTCAGTCTAAAAGGTTGAAGGCAATTGTTTTTTTTTTTTTATTTTGAATTTTTAGATTTAATATATTTAAACAATTATAATTGCTTTATGAATGTTGGCATGGGTTGAAAAAATCCGAATCCATTAAAGTATATATACTAAAGGTCAGGATCAACAGCCGAGTAGACGAGCCATGTTCGTTAGCCCGTCTCTCTGTTTCTATGCGAACTTGTCTTTCAGTTGTAATGCTATCTTTATGAAACTGCAGAAGTTCCTCTTAAAAATCTTATTTAAATCGGACTACTAAATCATATATCTGCCTTAGGAGCGATCTGTCGAAAACTAGGCCTTTTTCTCGTTTTATTATTTATTATTTATTAATTATTTTTTTTATTTTGTGTATTCAATACATTAAAAATAATTATATTTGATATAAGAATTTCGGGATATAATGGATTCTTTATTTTTTTTTAACATATAATTTCCTTAATTTTTCGATATTGTTTTCACTGTAGCCTGACTTTGTAGATCGCACTCTGCGTGTTGCCCTTCCACACGACCATCGTGGCACGGCCCATGCCCAACTCTAGTCAGCGTTTCGCTGCTCTGTTTGTCTGTCTGTTTGTCAGTGTGTCGCATCAGTTTTGCTCAGTTTTGCTCAGTTTTACGACTGTTTTTGCTCGACACGCGGCGCACTGCGCTGTTTTGGCTAGAAAAACCTAACCCCCCGCCCTAGTTTTATATAAGAATTTAAAACAACATATGGAGGCAACTGGCAACTGGAAACTGGCAACTAGTTCTGGCCCAGATTGATGTCTCCGACTGTGGCCAGTTGCCGCATACGTTTAACCCATGAGTTTTTCACACATTTTTTTTTTCGTTAACGGAAACCAGCAAAAAAAAAAACAATTTAATTTTTGGCTTTAAGTGCGATCAGATCCTTAAATTCCTTTATAAGCAGAACTGCTGAATAAAGCAGAAAATACGCCAAGGAATATAAACATGAATAGTGCGGGCACAATACCGCCCAGCAGCTGTGGAATATGATAAGTAGATCAAAATAGTTATTAAATAAAATATCACAATAACTCACAAACTGAAAGGGACGAATATTGCCCCAGCCAGAGACAAGGGTGTTGGCTGTGGTGCTTACGGGCAGCAGGAATTGATTATGAACAGAGGCTGCAAATGGCACGGCCAGCCCGCCCTTACCAACGCCCATTTGTATGCCCTGTGCAATAAAATGTTCATTTAAATAATTAAACTTAATTCTAAATTACCCACCAAAGGGACCAAAGAGCCTAAGACAATGTTCGCCACAAATGTGGCCGGCGCAATGCTGGTGAGCAGGGTGCCCAGAAGGCTGGCCAGCACGGCGCAGGTGGTGCTGCTATAGCCTTGTCTGGCGATCGTCTGATTCACCAAATCCATTAGCTTAGAATCCTTGTAGCCCCTTAAAAAGGCACCACCTGCGCCCATCATGAATAGATGTCCCCAGGGCGTGTTGGCGTTCACAATCTTCCAGCCTACCAGAGCCGGAGCCGTTCCCTCCTTCTGCGGCTGCCGGCAGCAATAATAGCGACAGAACATATAGTTAGCCGGTACGGCAAAAAAAAATAACGACATTAATATGATGGGCACCGAGGCGCCGCAGTTGACCACAGGGATTTGATCGTCCCAGCCTGTCCAAAGCAGCGGCATACGTGTGAACAATAAGATGGCCGTTATTATGATCAGCAACAGGGTGAGAATCGAGTGAGTCGTCCAGGGTCCCATGTTATCCTTCTTGTTCGCGATGGTCTGATTTATATAATCCTTGGACTGGGCAGCTTCCCTAACCATGTCTTTCGTTTCGCCCCAAAACAGACCCAAAAATATCATATTTATCCAAAGTGCAATCACAATAAAGCCGAATATCAATGGAACAGCATAGAGAAGCAAGAAGCCAGCCGGATCAACAGATATTAAACTAAAATAAAAAATGATATATATTTATATGTATATATTAGAAGCCGGCTAACATTTAAATGTGTTTTTTACTCACGGCTTTAGGGTGGTATAGATCTGTCCGTTGGGATCCTGGAAGGGTGACAACATGGCGCCAAGCGTTGCTGAATAGGCAACTGTTAGATATATGCCAATTGCCGGGTCCGTGGGATATGGCTTGCTAAACAAAGAAATAGAGTTAAATGGCGAAATTTTCAACTAACTGATCGAATGACTCACGCCTGACGCTCGTAGGTCTCCTCCTCCGTTTCGGCCACCAAAATTCCGGCCTGAAAGCAAGTTGAGCTATGCACAGATTATCGAGGCTTGCGAACAAAACTTACTGCGGTATATTCCAGGATCACAGCCTGGGCGATCTTCATCCAGAAGGCAGCCATAAATGTGCTGCTGACAAAAAACGATGTGATGGCCGTCATAAACATGAGGAAAACCTGAAGACTGCAAAGAAAATGATTTTAATTTAAGCCAGAAATTTATCGTGTATGAGCCCTGTTGCCCTATATAAAGATATATTTTTGACCCAGGCTGTATTTCTATTAGATCGCATTTGATTGATGAGCATTGACTAGAAGTTTAATTGAGCCGGATTCCAAAAATATTTCGCAAGGAACTTAACTTAATTCCATTCTTTTCAGACAATCAGTTTAGACTTGCAATCAGTCAGTCAGTCAATCAATAGAAACAATATTAAGAAATATAGTTAGGGTGTGTGTGTGTATATAGAGAGCACTTAGTAGGCATCATTGAAGAGATATCTCTCCTAATAAACATACAGTCGCAAATTGCTGCCAACACAACCGATTACCAACATGCCCAGCCGCTCGCTAAGCTTCGAGACGTCCATCATGACGCCCATGAATATGCTGCCCAATGTGACGAACATTAGATCCGAGTAATAGGAAACACAAATAATTTTAGATGCCTGCAAGTAAATGTTTAGCAAGACAATATCTGGCTAATAATTGGGTTTCAGTTTTGTTCCAGCTGCTTACCGATATACCGCAGATGGGCACAAAAACAACAAATAGGAACGCTACTGCCAGCTGTGACATGAGATTTAATATATAATACAAATAGACCACAATGCCGAGATATAACATGCGATAAGCCTGTTCAATAAACAATTGAATAATAATAATAAATAGTGGGCAGATGCAAATAGTAAATAGGAAGCTTACCAAAACTTCGGGGCCGAGTAGAATGGGACCCAACAAGATGGGTATCAGCACGAGCAGGACTCCCTTATAGTGGAACTTGCAAAACTGCTTTCGTTCATCCTGCTCCGGATACGGCAATTGACCCGGCTTGTAGTCTTCACTTTATTATTTAAATGGGCATAAATGCTTTGGGTTTCTATTTGCAATGTACCGCATTTTATACTTACGCCATTTTTTATTCACTATTAAATAATTTTAAAAACAATTGCTAACAAATGAAAACTGATATTTGAGTGAAATTCTGAAATACAAACTGTCATCTACATTGACAGCTAAGTAAAATAGAGTACAGCAGAGCTTAGAAATCGAATTGTCCCTGAGAGAACTTTTATCGAATTATTTCAAAAAGTAATTTTCAACAAATATATATGAAACAAACATATATCATATATTTCTTTGTGTGTTAATAAGCCAGCACTGCAAACTGTTTGTCAATTTAATAATTTATATTCAAATACTTTTGAGCAACATTTAATGCATAAACTGGCCTAATTTGGATTTATTGGCGCCTTATATGAAGCTCCATCAAACTGACTAACGCTAAAGCACTTCACAAACATTTTTTAAACACCTGTTAGAAATGCGCAAATGCGTCTCCTGTACAGGTACAAATATAGATCTGTATATATATATATATATATATATATATGTATATAAATTTATACATATTTACTTATATTTGCCCGAAAAACGAACTCTTATTAGCTGTACCTTTGACAGCAGGCCCAAAAGGAGGTCTATGTATGTAGTACGAGCTGAAGTAGTACTTAAAATGAATATATACCCATGCATGCCTACGTATGTGCATGTATTTATACTTATATATACATGCTTGTTAATATATTTGCATAATCACCGATACGTGAGTGTGTGCGTTACGCACTTTTTTGAGCTGCACGCTTTCAATTTAACGGCCAATTGCTGAATACTCCAAATGAATGGCGCTCACGTACTCTCCAAGGAGTCGGCAAACAGAAAATATAAAATAAATATGATTTGGCTAGCAAAATATTTGCACCCCTGCCAAAGCAAAAGATTTGCAAATTAAAATCCCCATCACTAAACGTTCTTTTTCCACTCAATATTAATATTAATAAAAAAAAGGAAAATGAAAATAAAATCAAAAAATGTCTGATTGGCAAATCAAAGTTAGATATATTGGCATTTATGGCGAATTTTAGACATATTTAACTGCGTTCGTTGTAGAATATTAAATTAGGTAAAAACATGGAAGATATTCGCTGCACTGAACATAAATTCTAATCTGAACTTAAATAGGTCCCAATATTAAGTGACAATTGGCTTAAGGAATTAATAGGGTTTTTTTTTAATATTTTTAAATAATATCGAACAGCATGAGATGATTATCTTTGTAGGAACACATTATATTAAAAACCTTTTAGTTAGTTTATCTTCCTTTCGATGCTCTAACTAGTTGAGAACTCTAAGTAAAGCGACTAAATCTCCAAGTCCAACTACTGCGCTGAGCCATAAAACTGTGTAAGGGAAAGAGTTTGCAATTTTTTAACTATGCATAAGCGAAAGAATTTTGAAGACACATTTGGCAGTCTCACGTTTCAAAGTATTATTTTTTTTATCGCATTCTGAATATTTGCTTAAATTTTTCGTGCACTGAAACATTTTGTACTCCATATTAAATTAAAATGCGGAAATTCCTAGAAATTTTGGCATCCTTTTTTTTTTTTTGCACATCTTTCCAATGGACGTTTTTGGTGCATATCGTTTGCTTGCAACATGTTCTATTTATTTATTTCTTGATATGCTTTAAAGCTTAATTTTTTTTTCAAAAATATTTGTGAAAATTTTTTAAAGAGTTGCTTTACACTTCTTGGGAAATTCCAACATGATTTAACTTGAACTGGGTTTTAAATCTTAGCATTAAAAAAGTTTGACATTTCTTTGGAATTTTATGATGGAAATTTATTAGATCATTTAACATGTACGAACTTCGATAGGTCTAAATAAACAGAACTTGCCGCTTTCCAACAGCACGAAATGACCATAATATATATCAAATCCATTCAAACTAATCTCTTATTGCAACATCTCGCAGCAGAAGATATCAGCTTTCGATTGTTTTATTTATTAACTTGCTGTGGGTATTAAAATGTATTTTTTGCGCTCGCATTTTATTTATCGCACTGGAGTTGGGCCCAAGCATAATTATCTTAAGTTTGTGATTCAATTTTAGTGCTCGTAAATCGACGGCTGAGTGCTTATGATGTTGACACTGGCCAGGCCAGGCAAGCGAGCGAGTACTTGGATAACTAGCACTATCCGAAGGGCTGAAGAGGCGATTGGCGATGTTGAGTCTTGAGCTATCTAACGCATGCTTATTGGCAAAGTTTTTCTAATAGCTGGCAACTTTTGTGGGTCAAGTTTTAAGCAGCGTTGCACAGCGACTGCACTTTGGCCAATAAAACTTTCGTCAGCAACGCCGCGATGGATGCTGCAGCTAGTCTCTTGACGGGGATTGGAGGGATTGAAGGGAATGGGGGGCATAAAGAACACGGGGCAACTTTGTAGGGCCACGTGGCGCGTAACAATGCGCAGTCGTTGGCAATTTTGCGTAACTGTTCGCCGTTCTGCTTCGTTAGGATCGGACCAGGGACACAGCTGCGGCTGGGGCTGGGCCAGAAGCTCCAGCTAAGGCCTGGATAAAGCTGCATAAACTTTGCGCGCCAGCCAAAAACGGATGTCACTGCAGATAATGTTGCATCAAATGTTTTTGGGTGAGACGTTGCACGTGTGTCCGTCAGTCAGTCTGTCTGCTGTGAGGGCTGCCGACTGTCAGCACCTGTACACCTGTGCAGCTGCATACCTGCACCGGCTCCTGTTCGTCTACCACTTTGTTTGGGCAATCGGCAGTGAAATGCTTGCCCCTCCTTTTACAACCTATGACCCCTGTCTGTCCTCTCTCTTGAAAAGTTTGCTGGCTCAACTTACCCTTAAACCAGGTGGTTGGCCGCATTTGTTGTTATTGTTGGTTTGGTTTGTGCTTTTGCAACATTTCCAAAACCATTCGGCATGCGGCTGCGTTAGATTTAATTTCAAATGCTAGTTTTCCACTTGAATTAATTCGCTGACTGCACGTCGAATGCGAATCCATGCCGAGCAATTCAATTTAATTTGCTTGCAATAAATGTAAAATATTCTCTATTGTCATTGACAAGAAACTTGTCGTTTTATACGTTGCGCAACACTGTTTCGATAAGACGAAGACACGCTATGACCTTGTAAAGCGTAAATAACTCGCACTTGAATATGAATTATTTATTAATTTATTTTGGAAAATAATAATATATTACTATGCGCGCTGTGCAACACTGTTTCAATTAGAGGAAGACACGCTATGACCTTGTAAAGTGTGAAATACACGAATATGAATTATTAATTATTTTATTTTGTATTTTGATAAGAAGAAGACATGCTAAGGTCTTGTACAACACTGTTTCCATAAAAGGAGGCATGAAATTAACTCGAACGCTATTCAGCGTGAATAATTGGCATTTGAATAGGACTTATGTATTTGATTACTTTGTAAAATAAATATATATTATTTTCGCATTGTGCAACACTGTTTTAAAGAAGACACGCAGTCAACATGGATAACAAGCTCTCTTGCCGTGCAATAGTGTGCATCCATTGTGCAAGCTATCATTATGATTGATTATTGATGGGCAACTTCTCCAGCTGAATTTCCTCTTGATTGTTGTCGCTCACATTTCAATCGGTAATCAATTAAAAGAAAGCCGCAATTTGTGTCTCAGCCAGTAACTGGTATTTGGCATCAACTCAAGCACGTGTCGTGTTTTCTGCACCCGGTAAAGCTCTAGATTTGCTGTTGTATGGAATGGAGGACATTCGACTCTTTGTTGTTTTTCTTCTTTTTGTTGTTGTTGTGATTGACGGCGTGGCTGGCGTTGATGGGCCCCGGCGTGGGAGCATACAGAACATGAAAGGAAACAATGAAGGAACAACTACCACAATGGAACAACACCAACAAACAACACACGGCATGACAGCCGTAATAACAACAACAACAACAACAACGACAACAATAACAACATTGATGACCAAACATGGCGCCTACAAACAAAAAGATGAAGCGCACGTAAAATGGCGCCGGATGTTGATTGACTTTTGTTTAACAATTTTTCGCATACGCAAGTTTGATAAACAGCAAATGGCGTTGTTTTGCCTTGGCCTTTATGCCCCTACACACACACACGCACACGCACGCACATGAAATTTGCATATACGTTGCCTATACAAAGCGTTGATATTGTTGAAAAACATGAATGCACAAGTTGAAAGTATAAACCGTGGCATCATTTGTTGTGGCCCGCCTTTAATAGGGGCTCAGCACACTTCTGGGGGCTTTTCCACAAGCCTTTCCATAAGCTGGCAAAACAATTATATATAATAAGTCATAGAGGCGATGCATGTTGCCAGCTGAGTTTTAGTCAACCAGCTGTCAAGTGTGTGGCCTGTTCTTATGCCCTAAGCTGATTTTTAGCGTAAGCGTTAAAAGTCACAGATTTACAGAATTTTTTCTCGTACTTCATTTTGCTGCTTTTCACAATAGTTGCTGTAGCTAAGCCTATACACGTTTGCGGCAACGCCTGCCGAACAGCTCCCAGCCCCACCAGCAGCGCTGTTGCGAGTCCATCAGCAGCTCTCCGGTCATCGTAAGCTCATCCTCCAGTATGTGGACGCAGCTGGTTAGCTCGTACTGCAGCTGGAGGCGCTGCAGTGTCCGGCAATAGGCCAACTTGTTTGGCTGACGCTGCAGCTCCAGCTCCAACTGTTCCGTCCAGTTGCTGGACTCTGCCCCGACGCTAATGGGCACCATTATTAAAATCTGGCCGAGCAGCAACCAATACGCCTTGGTGCTCTGCATGGCGCAACTTCGCGGCAACAACTGAGGCCGGACCGTTGCACGGCTCACTTCGGCCTGACGACGGCAGCCATAACTGTTGCAATTGTCGTTGAGCAGCTGTTTATTTGCCAACTCATTTTATTCGCTCTGATTTAGTTGCAATTAATTGCAAATTTGCGCGATGGGCCTCAAATGGCACCCAACGGCGCCCATAAAACTCTCTTCAAGTTTCTTGGCCAATCGTTTGACGCTTAAACCTCGGTTGCTCTACATAATTAGTTAGCAGAATTTGAATCTACCCATACTGCCAAAAGCTATCTCTATATGTATAATTGTTCGGCCCGACTAATTGACTGACTCGGATATTTGCACTGAAGTTAGCTTATGTAATGAAGGTCCACGTTAAGATGAGATTTCGGGAAAAAATAGCGAAAAATGTTTGTGTACAACTTTTTTGTTTACCATTCCGTCGGCCTCAGACTCATTTTCAAAGATCCTTGAGAGAATTTATTTTAAATATGCCACGGGCAAGGTTGGGTTATACACCCTATTGTACTATATAGACTTTTTCTTCATGGGTTTCCCTCCAGATCAATCTGGCATTCAAATCTGAATAAATTATTTGGAGTCGAAATTCATGTCTAAATCCTACCCCAAGATTCCTATGTAGACAGAGGTCCAAATTTCCCACCCCCACAAAATCTCACCCTCAAATAGCCTATACAGACATAGTTCAAATTTTTGCAACACCATAAATTGGTGTAGTCCTATTTTCATTAAGTTTGTTTTTATGTTCATGGTTTGGTCTCTAGCATTATTTTAATTGCTCAAAATTCATATGAAATTCGTACCCTCCAAACTTCAGATATACTTGGATTTATATACTTCCTTAAATCCGGTAAACTGCCGTAAAAATGTCGCATTAAACGTTTGCCATAGATTCAGTTTTAGTTTCTTATGATGTCAGCTGTCATCAAATCAATTGGAATGGATATTTTTTTGATACATTTTTCTCACTGTCGCATTATGCTAAAATATGTAGAGTGTATCTTTTCAAGCACTTTTGCTCAATTCGCCAGAAAATTGAAAAGGAAATCAAGTTAGTTCGTGGAAAAACAAAAATTCATTGGCTTGCTTATCTAAAGAAGCGCGGCTGGGGAACATTGTCAACAGATAGGTTTGGCAAGCGAAGTGTTAGATAAGCGCAAGATAAGTTTAATTGAAATCGGCTGGGCGCTTGTACGAACATAATTGAATTAAATAAAATTAAAAAATTGTTAACGCTCGTGTTGTGTTGTCGCGGGAAATCGCGCATTTATCCATGCCCAATCTGGGCAACGTTTGCCGCGAAACTCTCCAATCTGCGGGACTATAAAAAGACAGCGCCGCGCTGCAAAGTTCATTCAGTGTTTGTTCAACTATCAACCAGTTTACCCTTCAGCATTTGTGAAATCAACATGTCTGGTGAGTAAGGCGGTTGCGACTTAGCTGGAGAGGATCATTCAACATCAATTGTACCTCAATGCAGGCATGTACCTTTTGGCGAGCATCCTGTGCTTGGCTGTTGCCGGCAGCCTGGCCGAATCCATTCTGGAGGGCAATTACAATGTGACCGCGTTGTGTACGAGCGTGAAATATGGCGTTCAAGTTGGCAGCCTCGAGTCCTGTGACTATTACTATGTCTGCACACCTTCCGGTCCAGTTAAGACCAATTGCCAGGCAGGCTATGCCTACAATTATGTAACACAAACCTGCAGTCCGGAGGCCCAGGTTAATTGCTATTACGGCGTGGAGAATCCCTGTGCGGGTTCGACCGGCGACAAATGGGTGCCTGTTGCCGGCACCTGCAATCAATGGATCTACTGCAAGAACGGCGTCAACAGCGGCCAGGGCTCCTGCGGCGCCTTGAGCTTCGACCCGACCAGCCAGAATTGCACCTATGCGCCCTGCAATACCTTGCCCGATTCCGAAATCAATTACTGCAACGTAGTGCCGCCCGGCATCTATTTCGGCACCACAACCGATTGCAGAACATATAACTATTGCTATCCAAATGGTAAACTGGCTTCAGCCAACTGCGAGTTTGTAAGTTTCACTCAATCTCAATTGGAGTAGCCCGATCTCAGTCTGAATTGAATTTATCTCTGTCCACCTGCAGGCATTCCTTGTACAGCAGGGCGGCTGCGGCTACAACACGGGCAGCAATTGCGACAGAGTTGTAACTGAAGCAGTTCCCAATAGTTGTGACAATGCCGGTGACGTAGAACCCAATAATTCAACATGCGGCAGCTATTACTATTGCAATGGCAAAAACTATGTGACGATGAGCTGTCCCATTGGTCAGTATTTTGATACTATCCTAGAAAAGTGTGTCGCACGCCAACAAGCTGTCGCTGCTGAAGGCTGCAATCGCTGCCAGTATGCCAACACGGCGTTCGTGAATAACGTGAACTATGAAAGCTGCAACACCTACTACTACTGCTCGAATGGGGTCAACGGACCGGTCACGAACTGCCCAAGCGGCTACTACTTCAACGAGAGCGAACAGGGCTGCGCCAGCATGTCTGAACTTGGATCGTATGTTACTAATAATGGTGCTTGTCATGGAGCTCAAGCCCCAGACACAACAACAGGTGCCCCCTCTAGCGATTCTACCAATTCGGAACAAACTGAATTATCAACCGCATCTGACGCACCGACAAAAAGCACAGCAACAACAGAAAATAGCGCTGGCAAATAAATCAGCAACAATCTGCGACCAACATCGATATGTGACTACCACATATGAATCACTATCAAAACTTAAACAATAGCCGATAAAAAAAAAAACAACCAAATTATTTTAATAAAGCATGCAATTCAAAAAAAAAAATCAACTAGCATTCTTAATTTTGTCATGAATATAAATATATAAATATAATATAAAAATATATAAATATAATTACATAAATATAAATATATAAACGTATATCGTTTCGTATATCGTATATATACATACTAGTGGTTATTGCCCGGCCTTGCCCGTGGATTCGTTTTGTGCTACAAATTTTATATATTATTTTTCCATTAAGTGCAAGCCAGTGGAAAATTGAAATCAACCCCTACCATCTCCATTTCTATTTAAAGATATGTTTCAAGTGCATCGTATAAAGAACCAAATTTTGGAATCAGAAGTTACGCTCCATGCTAGTCGTGCGGTAAAAAGATGAAAGCTGACGAATAATCTTTCGTTTGGCTATTTTTTTTATTTATTTGCACTTATTTTATAGTTTTTATCACGATGCCATTATTTATGGTTATTATTGAAAACTCACTTTTTAAGGTATTCAACAAATTTGTTCGGTTCCATTTTTTTTTTAATCACAGAATTATTAGCCCTCACATTTAAAATATATATTCATCAATACAAAGGTCATACAATAAAAAAAAATAAATAAAAAAAAAGTAAAAGAAAGCAAGCAATATATCAGTATAAAAACCATGCGAATGCTAAACTGGATTTGGGTCCTTATTTTATTTATATTCACAAATTTTTTACCCGATTTTTTTTCACGCAAAATTGATTTTGCTTTTTCGCACCATACAAACCAGCCCATCAAATGCCACGCCCCGCACCGCACCGGCCTGTCCCGCTTGTTAGTTTTTTTCGGTGCGACATTTTCATTATCGGCGCCTTCTTTTTTTTTGTGGGAGATGCTTTTCTTCATCTGCTTGAAATTGCATTTGCAATGGCCACAAAATGAGAATCCGGCGGATTCGCCCTGCTGATGCATCCAATCGAGCGTAAATTGCACCGTTATATTATTTAATAATGGGCTGTAGGTTACCCTTCGACCTGGCCATGTCGTTGGCCGATTGCGCGATAGTTTTTTTTCCCTGTAAATGTGACAGGCCATATAAATGAATGTGCAGGGAAATTGCATGAAATGCAGCTGAAAATTGTGCGCCAAAGTTTAACAAGTGGCTTTCCATTGTCACACGACTGAGGTGGAGTTGCACAAGAAAAAAATAGACAGAAAATCATTTTGCGTATCCAATTATTGAATTTTCTCATTTGGTGTAAGAGGTGCAAATATAAGATCTTTGTTTTTGTTGAGTGGAAATTAGGAAAATTGAGCACACTTAAAGCTTAAGAAAGAAAGCAAAATCTTCATAGCTCCACTAAAGCTAAGGTGCGAGGCGCCTAAGGAGAAAAGAAAAAGCTTTTGGATTTGAAGCTTTAACCACGTCAACGAACTAAACCTTTGAAAGCATATTAAAGCAAGTTAAGCCTTGGCTATTGTTGGCATAATTAATGTCTTCTCTCATTAAGCAATGCTCATAGGAAGATTATTTAACTAGCATTGATGCTAGCTTCTCTCTTTGTCTCTACCTGTTCCACCTGCTCTATTCTATTAGTACGTACAGCACAATTCCATTAAATGCATAAATCCGAAATGCCCAAATGTTAAAAATGGCCGCCTGCCTGCTGAACAGACAGTTCGTTGGGCTCACAGTCAAATCTCAGCATGAAATTCATTTCGGATTAAATTAAGGATTAAGGTAACTTTTTCAAAGGCAACGCTCGAGCAACGTAGCCGAGCAACGGCTTCGGGTTCACCAGAACTGTGCTAGCACTTTTTATTTTATTTTATTTAATATTATTTTTTATTCCATTTCGGCAGTCCGAGCGGAAGCGCTCTTAAGTATTTAAGTAAATTTAAAAACTTGTTAAGCTCCCATAATGAAGCGATTTTGTGCATTGCCAAGAATTCTGCTCAGCTTTTTATTGGCTTTCGTCGACAGCTAATAATGCTGAACATTAGATGCGAGCTCATTTGATTTTCGGCACTTGCCTCGGCGTTTTTATTAATTAGCCGGGCATTGGGCGCATTGAGCGCCCCATTAAATGTTGGCCTCAATGAGCTGTTGGCCACCAGGCCCCTCGTAACCTGTCCTAATGATGCTCGACAAGAATGCGCCGGCTCAATGATAATGAGCCCATGAAGCATGTGCAGCTGTAGCTTTGGCTCGTTATGTCAGCCAAA